TATAATACAGTAATCGGGTTTCTTATAGTACCATTTTAAGCAAGAAAGTAGGTCATTTGCACTGGGAATGCTAAACTGGTGTAAGCCACTCATGTTCCTGCATCAGTGCTGGGCTCTTACTGTGCATGAGGCAACACAGGCAGCAGCACTCACACGCTGCTGCCTCCATGAGCTAGCCCACTAACAGGAAAGCCTTGTTAGTATTCTGTATTAATGCCAAGTGCTTCTGCTAGCTCAGCTTTGTCACCTGGGAAGATCACTTGCTACTGGTATCACCTTTTTTGCATAGGATCTTTGAAGCCCGTATTCTACGGCACCACATTGTGCATTTCAGTTATATACAAAGAACCAGAAGTTATATCTTGGCAATGTCTGCAAGTGCAAATGCTATTTTTATCCTGTTTCACTTCTCAAAGCTTTAAATGCTGTTGCTCTTAAATCCTTCTAGGACTGGGCACTACATTCGGTGTTAGATCAGTCAGAAGGTAGAGGAGATTGAATGAAATGGTGGAGAGAGTATTGTATTGATCCCATTGCATTGAAAGAGCCTGTACAATATGGTACTGCAGTTTGGTTATCTTAGCCTACAGTCCACACCTTACCTCTGCTAAGTATGCAGTGGGCACCTAAGAAATTTTACACATCACACACAGTTCCAGGATTTTTTGGACATACAACATTACTTATCTGAACAACCAGGGAATTCTGCGTCTGTAACACATTTATGAGAGCAGTGTTTTTGTTTTGTTGTTGGTTATACTCATTAACTATCTGTTATTGTTATGGCATCTGAGTAGTAAAATAGCAGTGGATTCAAGGAATATTACAGAAATGTAATAATATGAAATCATTGCAAATTTGTAGTGTAAGTACCTCTGTTCTTTCCTTCTCTTTATTCTGTTTCTCTGTCTCTGATTTAGTATCCGGAGTGACTGGTTTCTCTCCATCAAGCTCCTGCTCCTGCTGCGTTCCCCACTGCTTCTGCCTTGCGATGGTGATCCAGGCTGGCTCTGTGGGACTGTCAGGCTCCCTTCTGGAGTCTCCAGGAATCACCAAAGACACACTCCTCTCTGTTGACAGATTATTTATACTCATGGTTATTTGAAAGAGACTTCAGCTCTCGCTTGCTCAGTATGCTGGTTTGTCACATGAAGTGTGATAAGCCTGGGTAAACAGGGACTCTTTTCAGATTGGTCTCCAGACAACAATCCTCATGCTAAGTTACCACTCTACTGGTGAAAAACCACTTCTTATCCTTGTTCAGTTAGAGTTCAATGTCACTGCCTTCACATGGGGGAGATTCAGAAAAGTCAATGAAACTTCATGAAATCACCCACTTTCCAGGGTCTCCCCTTCTGCCCCTCCATTCCCATTCCCAAACAGCAGCAGCCAGTGCCTTAGTGCTGCCTTCACGTGACCTTTTTAGCCTTTCTGGCACAGCCCCCTGTTCCTGCAGTCTGTGTTGCCTGAACACACAGGAATACTGCTGACACTGCTGACACTCACCATGTTCTGCACTTGGGCCAATCACTCTCACCATGCTCTACTAGAATGGAGATTTCAGCAAGACAAGAAAAAATTGCAATTCCTAGAGAAAAGGGTCGAAAGTGCTACTCTGTTTCTCTCACATTTGCAATTAAGGAACAAGTGGTATGCAGATGTATGGGGAAGTGAAATACTGCATATTCTATGGATGTTGCAGAGCTGAAGTTAAGCATTCTCATTCCAACATCATGCATAATTCTGCCCCTTAAGAAATGTTTGTTATCTATTCAGCATCCTGCTCAGACCTATGCTCAGCTGCTGTGCTGGCATGGAGCTGTGCCTCCCTGCCTCAGGACCCTGTGGAGGTGGCACATGTTTCTGGAGAGCTGTGATCTAATTTAGAAGAATGTGGCCCCAACCCCAGAAGTTAGTTAGCATGAAAACATTGTAAAGCCTATATCAGCTAAAAAACAGAAGAGGAGTAAACAAGATTTTCTTTAAGGGCAAAGGAAGACGTAATGCCAGCTGACACTGCATTTCCCATCACATTTACCTCAAGTGATCTTGTAGGGAAACCTCTGAAAAGAAGAAGCCAGGAAGCCCAGTTGTGGAGATGCAGCACAGATGAAGAAGGGCCCCAGGACACTGAAGAAGCTTCCCTCCTTCCTGCATGGCAAGTTACTCTGATTCTCTTGCACACCATCTACCTCCCTGTCTTTCCATGCCAACAGCTGTTCCTCACATAATCCTTCTCTTCTCTTTGCTGGCTACCCTTGCTTCATTTTTCTCTCATTTCAGAGGACGATAATTTAATGCTGGGAAAGATGTCCAATGTTATCTAGTCTATCCCTTCAGATATAAGGCAAGATGAATTGCAAAAATTCACAGAAACTGTATTCTGACCAATATTCATCTAGTCTGTTCTTAAAACCTCCACAGATGGGGCAGAACTCACAGTCTCCCCAAACAATCTGTCCAAAGACTTCACTGTTCTTTTTCCACTAAACTTTTTCCCCAAAGGGTAAGCTAAATCTTCTTTGCTCTAATATAAATCTATAACTTCGTTTCCTATATACTGTGGTTGTGAGCAGATTACTCACGTTGTTCTTGTGGCAATCTGCTGCGCATTTGAAGATTTACACCACATTTTCTCTTTTTTTTTTTTAGCTTTTCTGACTAGTTTTATTCTCCAGATGCTTTTGGAGGTACTGTCCTAATTTGGTCCAAGTCTGGCTCCACTCTGGTACAAGGTGCCAGAATCAGGTGAAGTGGAAGGACTACTTCGCATGCCTTGGAGACTGCCTCCTATACACATCAGCCTTTTTTTGCAGGATTACCTTATTCTTGTTTCAAATTTAGTTTTTGAGCTTTAGATCATCTTACTTCCCCTCTCTCCTTCCCTTTTCATATCTGTGCACCTGATTATTTTTACATACAGACCAGCACTTTGTACTTTTCTATAATAAAAATATTATTTTCAGACTATGTTTCCACTTTCTCAAGAGAACTCTGATTTCTATTCTTGTTCTCCACTGTGCCTACAGGCTTTCCAGCTTGCTAGTACTTGCAAATGTAAGAAAAATACACTTAGATCTGTCACCCCTGTCCTTAAATATACTGAACAGTGCCAGAACTAGGATGGCCACCATTAAAACGACAGTGAAACATAGCCAGCACACTCGATAGCTCTGCATCAACCCAATGAATAGATTCACCAATACTGTACTTATAGGAGTGTCATGAGGAGATGTCATGACACTCGTTTGCCCTGCCACAACAGTTATCATTTGATTTGACTTTTCATCACCAAACCACATTGTTTGGAATTTACATCCATGCTATCTTGTGGACATTCATAAATAGCTCAGTCATTCCTTTTGGTATTTCATTTTAAATGGTATATAACACTCCTTTCCCCCCCCCACCTCACCTCCCTTTTCAAGATCTGCTACTTTCCCTTATTTTCCACATTTCTCCAAGACAACCGCTAGCAGCCCAAGGACTATTAAACAGCCTTCTCTGACTATATTAGGGCTAATTTCATCACGACCATCATAACTAAAGCCACTAAGCTGAATTGATGCGATGTCTACTAAGATACCCACAATCACATTATCTCCTTTGTAGGTTGTGCCCATGTATCCAGTTAGGCAGTAAGTAATTTGGGCAAAACCCATTAAGCACACTGCCAAGTAAAACTAGGCTCCGTGCTTCATCAGTTCTCAGATCACGCTGCTATGATAAGCGGACTGACCGCCACTATTGAAGGTGACGGTGATGTCTGGAATTCCTCAGAAGCATCATTTAATGAATATCTGCACAGCAAATATTAGCAAGGTATTATCAATGTTATCAAAATGTTTCTCCATTGAAGCCTCCCTCAGCCTGGCCAGCCTCTTCCTGTAACTCCATCCCCCCAAACATTCCTTCTCACCCCATGTCAAGGCCTCAGTTTCAAGACAGAGCCTTGTATAACTGGCACACCACCACACAGGATTTTTTCCATGATAACTACAGCCTTTGTAGTGTCCTTTACTGTTTTTAATACGTTGGTCCTCACAAATATCAAAGTTTTTACTCTGAAGGCCCTCTCAACTTACCCACCAGCCTTTCCTTGATAGTGGGAATGCAGCTTCTGCCTTGGCTCAGCTAGGGATGTTACTTCTTAGTCTGCCTGATTCAGAATCACCCTCTGTGTTCTGTCCCATTTTCCCTGTCATACCACAGGGGCTTTCTGTAAACACTGACTAAACTGTGCATTGCTCTTCCTCAGCTCCCACCAAACAATCAATACTGACAATGACTGCAACGCTCTCATTCTATTTACCATACCTCATGTAATGGTTTTACTGCTATCTGTGCTTCCATTTCTGTGTATTTAGGATTCCTCCTCCTATTGTTTTGATGTGCATTTCCTAACACAACAGGGTCCCCAATCCCTCAGTGATATGTCAGGAAGCTGCTATTACAACAGCAATTTCCATAAAGCAGATATTACACAGGGAGGTGTCAAGCACCTGGGCTTTTGAAATAATTTTCATGATGAGAAACCAGACATTCAAGTAACACTAATTACAAGGCAGCCAAATTAGAGCCAAATATGATCCTGGAAGAGATGGTATCAGAATGCTGCTGTTATAGTAGCAATGAAGAAGCTCTTTATCGACATCTTTAAAGGTTGAAAGATAATGTACCTGTGCAGGCCTGACTTGCGACAGCACAGTACCATCACCTACTCTGAGCAGGATCAAGAGCTGATCTGCTTCTGGGATGGGCTTTCTTCTTTCATCAAATAATTACATTTTACTCTTGCTGCTGTGAGTCTTTGCTACAGGAAGTATGTCAGGCAGGCAAAGCAAAGGAAATGTTTTCTTCAGCAAAAAAAGTCAGATGCAATCTGCAGAATTTGCTACCTTCTCCCTTATCAGTCAGCTGAAATTACTGTAAGAGGAGGAAGAGACTGCATTGTATTCACAATCTACTATCTTTCCCATTGCCCAGAGATCCTTTACATCCTCCTGCTTCCAACTAGGGCAGGTGTTGTGGCAATAAAGCTGCATTGCTCTTCTAGTAACTTTACGGTACTGGCAAAAGATAAAAGGTAATCACAGGACAAAGTACGGTAGAGAGTGTCACTCTCACAGCTTAAGGTATGTGAGTCTCTCCAAGGAAACTCTGGGGTTCTGAAGAGTATTAAGAAACTGAAAACATTCTCAAGAAGCAACAATTCACAAGAAAAGACGTCTGCACATCTTTCTCATTTCAGTGAGTGTCTGATTCCCATGAACAAGTCCTTCCTCCTGTCTTATCTCATCTGGTCATGAGGCAGTCAGAATGCTTTTATAATTCACCGTGCATCAAAGCTCAGCATTTAAGGAACTGGCTAGCCACGGTGAAACCACAAGAACTCAAAAGCACCGCCTAATTCCCATTTCCAACAGAAGTCGCACGCAAGGCAGCTAGCACAAGCATTCCCTGTGTGTATGCTCTGCCGTCACAGAGTGCTGAATGCAAGCAGAGGCACCTTCTGCTGGAATCCATGCAAGGCTGACATGCCATGGATGCTCTGTCCTTCAGTTCTCCTTCTGTGAAGCAGGGGTGAGTCTCTTGCTTCCATGGCACACTCCGAAAGCTGAATTCTGAATTATATTCTTCGGTTCTTATTACAGTATGTTTAAACAATACACTATTCAACTCTCTATTTAATCACTTCATAAACTAATAAAGGATGTTGTTGGCAGTGATGTATCTCTCATTCACTCGTAGGTTTAAGCTCATGATAGTTCCTTCTCTTTCTTTCCTTGGAACAGATTTGGCCTGAGGCTTTTGGAAAGAGGAGCGAGCCCCTTCTTCCCCTTGGGAAAAGTCACAGAAAATGGGAGGACACCAGGTCAGAACTTGTCTGCTCTGTGCCTAATGCCTATGAACACCTAGCATTTCAGTCGGCTGCTGAAGCCTGCTGCCTCTTGAAACCACACTCAAAAGCTTCCTCCACCCATTCCACCACAGCTACCAAGCACACAACATTGCAGGCCTCTTCACTGGCCTCATCGCTCAGGCTGCTGGCAGCCAGGCCCATACCCCTCACCACTTCCACAGCTCTGAGTCTCACCACCAGACAACTCCCAACCCAAACAGAGCCCTCTCTCACCTTCTGAATTCTTTCCCTCAGATAAGAATTACCCAAGCTCTTCTCAGCTGGCTCTGATAACAGCAGGGCTGGCCCAATGCTCCCTAAGGGTGAAACTCCCCTGCTGCAGGTGTTGAATGCAAGTATCCATTTCCCTCACCATTTTACTAAAGATTTCCTTTTCCTCAGAGATTACAGCTCTGCTCTTACAAATGAAATTTCTTCTGCCTAAATATTGTGAATATGAAAGCATACACTTCCCATCAATGGCTGGATTTATTCTTTCCCGTCTATGTGACTGGCTGTGTGAGCAACGAGATGAAGATACAGTACTATTTATGGACTAAAGAGGATCTGTGATTGATTCGTTACTGTACACTGGTGTATGCACACACAGACAAGTGAGAGAAATACATTGCTCTTTCTGCCTACTGACAGATGAATATACCCAGTATATTCAAATGTGTGTAAGGTTGTGTGTGTGTGCACATTGCATACGTGAATAACCACAACAAAGACATATTGAAACATAATCCTAAGGTTTAGGGATCAATTTGTTTTAGGTATGGCCTGAGATATTGTACTTGTTTCCTTTAAATCTAAAAACCTTTGTGTGGACAAAATATTGCAGAGTCTCTTTACAACATTTAGATCCTGTCCCTGATAATGAGCATCTTATGCCTGGGAGGACTGCAAAGAGTGAGTGCTTTTGCCATACATTTGTGCAAGCAGAATATTACAACTACTTAAAGGACATACCTCTGGTAACAGCAAAGCTAACTTGTGTACTCCCTGTGTATTCTAAAAGCAAACATATTCTTAGCTAATCCAAACACAGGGACATAACCCCTCCATATATGCAAGTATCATTGTTTCGTAAGACCACTCATGTGTGCATATTTCTTTCCACATTGTTATATCTTTGGTCAATCATGAAACATCAGGTATCTCACAAAAGTCTTTAAAAATGCAGATGGCACTTAGTATACATGCTCTGCCCTAAATATTTCTCCTTATTTATTAATGTACTGCATGCATCTGTGTCAGGATACACACCCAGTTCCTTAATTTCAGAGCACAGAATTCTAAAAGGTCTGGCAATGTATTTCTGGCATTTCTTTCTTTAAGCTCTTTGAAGATTTGACTTCTGGTTGGATCTATACCACTGATACCAGGAGAGTCTTTTTTTACACCAGAAAGTGCTATGTTTGCACTGAAGTCTATTTCACTGCTGGAAAGCAGCCATGGTACAAAATAGGCTGACACAACCTAAAAACAAATGTATTTTGGCAAAAAAAAAAAAGTGTCTTTTTTCAGCTATAGACAGGGCAGCACTAGAGCAATGTCTTTTATCCAGAGAGAAACATTTTCTTTGTTGCTTCAAAGCTCAAATTTCTAGACAATGAATACCAATTTCCTTTGCCATTACAGTCATTGTCCCCCTCCAAGTTCCTTTTTTTCTTTTAGAGAATATCTCTCTGCTACAGTCACTGATTTTTAAATATTCTCTTGTGCACATTCACATGGATATTACTTACAGCTTTGCTCTTGTAATAACCTGCTAGCATGTGTTGTTTCTGCCCTTTACAGGATTTATAGATTATCAACTCCCAAAAACACAGCTTAATTTTTTTTTAATTCTTGCAAAGACTTGTGCTTTTAGCTCTAGAAAAAATTATTTTCTGGACAGACAGAGTGACTAATTTCACACATCCATTACAAAGTCACCTTGCAGCTGCACAGAAACCAAACAAACCCCTCCTCATTCCCCAGGAAATGCTGGCCAAACTTCTACCAAACTTCTGCTTTCTCCTTGGTGGAACAGCAGCCTGCCTGCAGCCCTCACAGGGCCTTTGGTACCAAGAATGCTGAGAAGCCAAAAATTGAGTTCCACGTACCAAACTGCTCCTGTTCATCCTGTGACACAGCAAACTGACTTTCTGCAGATGATTGTATAGGAAAAGGGTATTACACCCCTTTGCATTATGATTCCACAGCTTGCCTTCCTGTTGAGCAAAGGAATTTCCTAACACACAGCACGCAGAAACTCCCTGACAGTGTCAAGTGTTCCTCAGTAGCAACCACAGCTCTTAAGGTTGAACAAAAAAGAAAGTGGGCGGCTTAGAATACCTGATAGCCAGAATTTGTTGTTAAGCCACACGATTGATCCCTGGAAGAGTGATGCTGATAGTGCTTTTCAGATTTCTGGCACTTACTGGGATACTCTCCTGAGTCACTGGGCTGAGGCAATAGTTTCAAAGAGCTTAAAATGACATTTGCACAGGAGTACTGCACTGTTTCATAAAGCTGTTTTCTCTCTCATTGCATCCCATGGCTCAAGATGCCCTACAGAGGTACTACAGCAGTTCTCCCGCGTGATGCTGCTTAATTTCCCCCCACAAAACCTGCTGTTGTGCCCAGATGGCTAGAGAAGGTGTGAGTACTTCACTCACCTGCAGCATTTGGTAGCCTGCTCAGGCTGTGGTAGTGACTCGATCCCATTTCTAAGGAGAAAAGTCTATAGTGGCATAGGAAAGACCTGGAAAGACCTCAGGCCAAGTTGGAGTAGAGTGTTCTCTATTTAGAATTAAGCTTTCTCTCCTGGCATGCTAAAATAGCAGAATGCATTACAAAGCTGTTCAAAGCTGGAAAACTACTATGATATAATAACAACAATGAGGAATTAGATAAGAAGACTAATTACTGCTACAGGCTAATCTGAATCTCCACGTCAGACAATACCAGGCCATACCAATCTGCTGTAATACTGCCAGTTGGAGAGGAACGCATCTGAAACAGTGCTACTGGACCAGCAGCACGAGGTCAAACTCCACGTGTGCACAGCCCTGCCAGTGAGGCCAGGCTCTTGTGCATACACATTTTTGTAGAGAACAGCCCTGAGCCAGGGCCAGGAGTCTCCTTTGTACCTAGAGCTGCAGGAGCAGAGGAGAAGCCAAGAGAAATGTGCTCCTCAGCTCCATTTCTTTCCTCCTTTCCTCCTACTGTATCCGTCAGTGCTCAGTGCACTTTTGCTGCACCCAGTCTTGCTCAGCAAGTTGCCTGTGGGGCCAGGAAGAGGCTTTTGTACAGCACACATGGCCTGCCACATTCTAGCGTCTTCTTTCAGCTTAGTGTTTCCTCTCTCCCAGGCTCGGAGCCTGGCCCCCAGTGGAAAACAGCAACCTGAAGGGCAAGCTCTGCTGTGGCATGCAGAAACCTCATCTCCTCACATCTTAATATCAGACTCATGACCAGACAGACTGGGGTGGGGAATAAGTTCCTCATACATACTGGAAGACCTAAAGATTTTTTTTTCCCCCATTTTCGGTCACTCTTCAAAAAGAAGAGCAGAGTTTTTCCAGTTATAATTTCTTGAGTGTACTTAACTCGTTTGCTGTGGTTGCAAAGACCTCAGATGGCAGTGTTGCCTCTTCTGTTCTCTGCCTGTGGCACACAATATATTGGTCTCCAGAGGACTGAATTTTTTAACTCTAACCCAATTATGTTTTGGCTTACAATACAGACAACTGGGTGCAATTTAATGATCTGCAGTAGAGTTGATCTTAGTCCAGCAAGCTGCAGGGTAGCTAATTCTTGTTTTTAAACAAGGATTGAGTAATGGTAAAGATGAATAAATGAACATGTGTGACTCATGAGACAACATGTAAATAAGTGTGCTATGCATGCCAGGCAGTTAGCAGTATTTCTGTCTGAATACTATGGCAGGAAAAGGTCTACAGGTCTGAGTCATTCACCTCACATAGGGCACTGCTCTTAATATGTGCTCCTGCCTTTTGAATTTCAGAAAGCAGCTCTAAATGGGGAGATTCAGTAGCTTGATATTTCTCTTTTACAATACTTGCTAATGCCCTCTATCTGTTGAGTGTCACTTTGAACATCCTACAAACAATACTATGAAACAGAAAAAAAATCTCAGGCAAAAATGCCTTACTTTGCCTGTTACTTCTTCCCTGCTGGTTTTTTTTTTTTTTATAATCAAATGGAAGAATGAGGGATCACCAAAGGCAGAGCCCTCAGCTCCAGCTCACATGATTTGAGATTCACACAACAGAATGTGTGAATCCCACGTGGTAAGGTCATTCTTCATGAGTTAAGACAACTTTACAAAGTATCAAGTGTCTTACCAGGCACTTTACTAGGATTTGGCCTTTTCTCCATGTGTCTCTCTTCATTTCTGGATTCTGGAGCATGAATAGTTTTGTCCTGCTTCTCCTTGCTTGCACTAGTATTTGGAACAGTTATGTTTTGAATGACTGGCTTTTTAGGCAATGGAGGTTTGCTACTAAGCTGTTCAGAGGACTGTGCTTTGGATTTGATCTTTTCATTTAAAGAACCACCAACATTTGTATTGGCTGTTTTTTTGATCTCTGTTTTATCATCTTTGAGAAATAAAGTCAATCCCTGATTTTCTAAATTAAATTCTGTGCCGTATCTTTTAATTCCTTTTGATTCAGACAAGTGGTCTCTATATTTCAAGGACAGAGAGGTAGATCTAAGTTTTACTTGAAAAGGATTTTTATCTTCACAGCTTTGCTGATTCTGAGATACTGCAGAAGAATCACTTTGCACCGGAACTGCATCGACAGCTGGAGAACTACAGTCAGCCAAAATTTCTGTAGACTGGCCCATGTTCTCAGAGTCAGATTCTGGCAGCAAAGCTTGGTTTCTGTCACTACTTTTTCTACCTTCCAGATCTGATCCCTTCTGCAAGTCTTTGCTCAACTTCTCATTTTTCAAAGAGACATTCACATTGGACAGGAAGAACCTGGTATTTAATGGATCTTCATACAGTGAACCTTCTGGAAAATGTAGGCTTCTGGTTTTTGGCCTTTCCCGTGCAGAGGAGACAGAAAACTTTCTCAAGACATTGAGTTCATTGGCAGTTTTTTCATTTTTCTTCTCCAAAATCTCTTCTTTGTGAACCAGTGACTGACTGTTCTCTTTATCAGAAGCAGCTGCTTCTTGTACAGTCTTTGCTTTCTCTAGGGACTGGGAAGCATGCGACCCCACCTGGGATGAAGAAGAGGGATGTGAAACATGGAATGAATCTGTGGGCTGAAAAGAACCTGTGAAAAACTGCTTGCTAGACTCTGATGACACAGCAACCACCTTCTTTGACTCTTTGTTACAGGACATTTCCACAGGTACCTGGTCATCGCTCTGTATGTTTTCTTCTAACCCTTCCAAGCAAATATTACTATTCTTACTAGTTGAAATATCTTCTTCAGATGGTATTTCATGTGCTGAAAACACAGAAGGAAGCTCCTTGTTTCCTTTATTTAAAGTACTAGTTGACACATTGCTACTCGCATCCCCAGACAACAGAACCAGTGCTGCTGAGGAATCTTCTGGCTTTTGTACTTCTATGTCTGGAGCAGAGTTCAGAGAAGTTGTGGAGCTGTTGCCTTCTGACAGCAGCAAGCACTCAGACTTCACACACGTATCCAGCATTGGTTGGAAGCCCGTTGGTTCATTCTCTGGAAGCAAAGCTTCCTGTGCAACAGCAGAGTCAGAAATGGGTTGAGTCACTGCCAGTCTCAAAGCAGGAGGAAGGTCCTCAGGCACTCTGGGCTTCTGCCAGGAAGCCACGTCCTGTGCTGCAGATGTGCTGCAAGGCACTTCTTGATCGCTGGTTTTGAATACAGCATCTGGCAAGTCTGCACGCATCTCCTTTTCATCATCCTCTTCTTCTTCTGGTGTGCAGCTCAAATCAGTCAGAGATTCAGACTGGGTCCTCTGCAAGGAAGAAATTTAGAAAGCTCCATCACTATGTGCAGATTCGTATGCTGTTGCTTTGTTTTTTTAAACACGGCATTTACAACCAAGATCTTAGACAGGAAGGCGAAACCTGCCTCCAACACTGAGCATGCTGTTTTCTTAACCTACGTACTGGATGCATTTTCATCTACAAAGACTTGGGAATAATGTATTTAACCAATATAAAAGCAATCAGTGACATTCTTTTCTGCACAACTAAGGCTTT